ATACGCAACGAGGCTCTGGAGTGTTATGCCGAATCTGTCTGTTCACAGCCAGAAGGACTTGTATATTCGGAACGACACTAGTGAGGTTGGCAACAGGGGTCCCAGTGACGATGGTCTTCAGATAGAGACCCTCGTTTTATAAAACCTGCTAGGTTGTGGCAGAGTTTGCAGAGTGCTTGGGTACTAAATTTGACCTTTAGTACGGCTTACCATCTCCAGACTGACGGGCAGTCCGAGCGTACTATTCAGATTTCCTTGAGATATTGCTTCGGGGTTGTGTCCTGGAGGACTTTCACAAGTGGGACGTGGAGAGGCTACTTACCCTTTGGTAGAGTTTGTCTAGCGAACAACAGTTTTCAGTCTACATCGGTAATGGCACGTTTTGAGGGCCTTGTATGGCCGACCGTGTAGGCCTCCAGTTTGTTTTCGGGGCCCAAATGAGTTGGATTTTTTTAATTGCCGAGGTGGGGTGATGCACCTATTGTTATTGGGGAACGCGTCCGGTTTGGTTACGATGGAGACGACGGAGAAAATTGAAGCTTATCCGTAGGAGGCTTGTTACAAGCCCAGAGTCCAGTCAGAAATCTTAATGCTGACGTCAAAGGAGCCTTTGTCGTTTTGAGGTATGAGCGTATCATGTCTTTCTGTAAGAGAATATCGACCTAGGGCGTAGGGCTGATGAGTTTCAAAACTGTTGGGAAAGTGAGGAAGTTATCCCTTCGGTTTTTGGTCCACCTTTATGAGATCTTGAGAGTTCGCTTACCCAGTTAAATCTGCCGCATGGTTGTGCCGGAGTGCATGACGTGTTTCAGTGTGGAGGTTAATGCTTCGGAACAGTAATTGAAACAAGCCCAGATCCATCACAATATTTATCCGGATTTCGGACACGATTTTAGAGGTAGAATGCAGGATGCCTCTTATGAGGGAGGGTAAACCGGCTTTCGCGGTCCTTGATAGGCCGGGATCAGGTCCTGCGTGGCAAGACCATACTTTTGGTGAAAGTCTGTGAGACAACATCACTGGCGAGTGGAGGACAGCGCATCCTGTAAGGCACACGTGAGTTGGAAGTCCGCGAAGATACTCGGACTTTGTCTTTGTTGATCATGTAGATTTGTTATTTACATTGGAACTATTGTTGAACTCTAAATAAGCTTGTTATATCATGTCCTTAAGTTGTGAACATTGAAAATGTTTGTTTGTTGGAAGCTATGTGTTGGGAAACTTACCTCTATATGAAGTTGAATGTAACATTATATATGCTGAGGGACTGGGTTCGTTTGACAAATGTGGAAAGGAATGCGTAATTGTTTATGCATGTTGAAAGTAATATGTTGTTTACATATTTGGTAAAAATGCCTCTTGTTAAAAGCAGAGGGGGGTGAACCGGTAATGGGTCGAATTGTTGAATTTAAAAATGTAACATTTGGTTTAAATGGAGGGAAACTGTTTTTGAAAACAACTTGTGGCTGAGAATTTCGGGGACGAAATTCTTTAAGGGGGGAAGGTTATAGCGATCCCGGTTTACCCTTGTTGTAACAGTGACTCCGAATATCCATGTGTCCGTGGATGTTGTAAGTTTGATTTATTATCTTGTTTTACATCCTTTTTACTTTCCGCATTTGAGTTATAGGCTGTGGTTGGGCAGGTTTTGTTACAGGTTGGTTGAGGTTTTAGAAACCAAAACTAATTGCCCAGATTTTACCTGTCCCGCATCGAACCGGGTTTTTGGGCGGCTCCGAGCGGTGAATGCACCCTACCAGTATTCCCTGTGCAGCGTTTGGTCGCAGCTCGAAGCGTGGAGTTGGCGCTCGAGCGGGGTTGTGTGAGATGCACGAGCTCGAGCGGGGAGTTGGAGATTGAGCGGAGACCTGGTCTGTAATATAAGCTTCTAGGAGTGTGCATCCCGCCCGCTGCGAGCGGCGATTGGTTGGCTCGCCGAGCTGGAATCTGTGAGTGACGCTCGACTTCCGCGGGCATGATTTGACAGACTCGAGGCGGCCATACGAAGGCCGACTGGTTTAGTTTCCCGTGTTTTGACCTTTCAAATCACTTTGTTCACATCGCTCTTCTCTCTCTCCTACTTTTTCCAAAAAACCACCATTAGTGTAGCCTCGTCACTCTAGAACTTCTCCTTCTCTCTAGGTTCTGATCTAAAGGAACGCTCGACTTCTGTCTCCATCTTTGGCCTTTAACAAAAAAGTTTGTTGATCGTCGAGGGCTACATTTTAACACTAAATTTCGAGATTTGGAGCATCGTTGGGTTTGTCTTCTTCTCCTTTGGGGGTCCGAATTTGAGGTAGGGATATCCTACTCGCTCTCTATGATTTTGTCTTTTAAATTTTAGTATTTTGGATGTTGGGGTTTCCGGTTTGGGTAACTATAATGGTGAAAATTTGGGCGCTTTGTGTTATTCTTACAAAGTTGGGGTTTTTATTCATAATAAACCTAGATCATGTTTTGGCATAGAGAAATGGAATAAAGTTGAATCATTGTGAAAATGGGGACCCTAAGGGTTGAAATGTTAATTATGGAGATGACCAATTAACATTGTTTGATTAATTTGGGATAATTAATTGTGAAGAAATGAGGAAATGAAATGTTTGATTGAATAATCCATTATTGTGCATTTATTTTCTGTTTTAGAATAATTGCTTTGGGCTTCGGTGGAGGATATCGTCAATTGTTGTACCAAGACAACGACTGATGATTAGGCCCAGCAAACGGAAACTAAATCACAATGGAATGTGTCCATGGAATATTGACGGGTAGATGGAATACATTAACTGTATGTATTGGAGTGATTGTATATAGAAACAATTGTTTTGTATACGTATGTGTAGAGGACGGAGATGGGGGAGGGGGATGTACTTCCGCGTTTAGGGAAAAGATAGGGGATGTACTTCCAAACCGGATAGTGTTGGGAGAAGAATAGGGGATGAAACCTCCGTAGATACACGAGCTGCAAATGATTGTCTAGAGAAGTGAAGATAGCAGCTCATATGACTTATCTTTTTGTGAAATGTGTATATAGCTTATATGCTTATCTGTGATGTGGGATATAGTTTTTATACTTATCTGTTGAAATAACGATAGAGCGACATGCTTTACTGTGAAAAAGGGAAAATGAAAGTAACTTGGACTTCATAGTATCGTGTGACATAAATATGTGATTTATTGAATGTCACAGGTTGGCCATCTATCAATTGCTAATCTGTAGTCATTGTTCATAGTTGTTTAGTGTATTTCTACTGGGCTGTGGCTCACCCTATAATGGAATATCATTTTCAGGACAGGGTTAGCATGCACCTCCTAACAGGACATAGCTTGGAGCCTAGAGGGCGGACATACTTTTGTCGTTTTGTTTATTTTGATGTATTACATGTAAATTCAACCAAGGGCTTAATGTGTAAATGAGTTAGCACTCTTTTGTGTAACCAAAGTATTAACTTGGAAAGCTGTAAGCCCATAGAGCATTTGCTTTGTTGTTAACATGTTAATACTTCTGTAATAAAACTCTGATGAATAAAAAAATGTGGTTATTTCATATGTCAACGAATGTCTTATTTGATGGTTTAATGTTATTGTTTTGAGGGCATTACAAGATCTATTGAGATGTTAGCATCCTCAAGAAACAAACGACAAAGCAATAGCAGGACTCAGCTTCCTCATCCTGTTAGTAATCATAACTCAACTTAGACTTCCATACTCTTCTCAATTAACACCTTCGATGGTTGTTGCTATGAAGCACCGCACTTCAAAAATAGTGTCGTATCTGTGTCGGACACACGGACACGAGGGACATGTATGGCACACGCCACATGGCATGTCCCTTATTTAATTTAATTTTTTTCAAAGGAAACACCGGGGACACACTAGAACATGTCAACTTGTCTTTTCCCCCATTTTCTTTAGTGCTTTTGATCAAGTGTTTGATGTTGAATGTTTATTATTTTTTCTTAAGACTTAATACTTAATAAATTCATCATAAAAAATACATAACTATAAAGTGTTAATTTTAAAAGTGCTTTTTTTAAAATATGAATTAGAGTTAGTTTTTGTTAATATTGATTGTTTGTGGATGTAATATTAAACTAGATAGTACATAAAAGTAAATGAAAACATATTTTATTGGCATGTTCCCGCCATGTCCGTGTCCCCATTTTTTTGAAATCGCCATGTCCCGTGTCCGCATCCATATCCATGTCTGTGCTTCTTAGGTTGTTGGCAATGATTTTCTAAGTTCATAAGCTGCCTCTTTTCATTTTTTGTGAAAATCGTTGTCTCTCATTGCCCTTCCAACTATGACAAATGGTAAGGCCAAACCTTGACATTCACTGTGAAACAAATGTGGGGGAGTCAACAACATCACCAGCACTCCTTCTAAACAAGTCCCAAGATCCTTTTCCAGACAAAACTCGAAGATGCATGATCTTTGTTGTTTGCCATGCTTTTCCACATAAATTTTTTTTTTTTTTGGGATTAAGTACAAGTTTTTTTTGTCTCTCTCAATAATTTGACACATGTGCATCTAGGACCTCATGAAACAACTATCTTATGATCTGATAAAGCATCACATCCAGCAACCCTTACTTGGGAAGGAATGGCTATTAAGAATTTCAAAACTTAACAGTCAAACATACTTGACTAAATGAACAACCATCCATAGAAGATGTAACTTCTTTTCCGCAAACTGAATTCTATGGAATTCTTGAAAATTTTATATCTTTAGTCCACTTCAAATGAAATGTGGGGCTAAGTCGTACATAGTGAAATCAGTGGCATATCCAAAGTGTACTGGATGAATAGAATTACAAAAGAAAGAAATAAAATAAAAAATAAAAAGAGTTATAAATTCAGTGACCTCCTTATTGATATAAGTAAAAATGTAGTAGTAATTACGGTGTAGAATAGGCTTTCGTGATGAATATGTTGGGTATATCTGCACTTATGAGGCACTGGACAGCAGCAGATTGGTATCAAATAATCTAAAAAAAGGTACAACAACAACAAGGTGTATAATGATAACATAAATAAACCCTACTACAACGTAATCATAGCTTAAGAGCAAAATTACAAAAGCTTCAACAAATTATGTTAAATGCGGTGCCTCATTGACAAACACTTCTTCCATACATCTCTCATCAGAAAACCATTGTCATTACCTTACAACAAGCATATAAAAGTGGGGCACAACTCATCGGAAAAGACTCTCATTCAGTCTCTTGGCTTCAAGCTCATGTATTCACTCCAAACACAAAACAATTGCTGTATGAGGGAAGATTGCTAGAAGGTCCATTATTCCTCACTGGTGAGCGGAACGAATTCGGTGTCACAGGTTGAGTAATATGCAGTCCAGCACTCCGAAGAACTTGTTTAGCATTTGCACATGAAAGTTCGGACTGATCAGTGAAGAAAGCAGGAACACCCATGGACTTGATTAAGTTGAGGGTTCCACCCCAACTTGCATATTTCTCTAATCCACAGTTGAGTGCAATAACTACATGAGGTGAGGATAGGTAAGTGGCTTCCTCCTGATAAAGTCCCCTCACAAGATTCACCCTTACTCTGCTACTTATCCCTGAAGTTGTCCCCGACAAATTCATTGGAACTCCAGGACCCACCATTACTCTCTGAATATTGCTCATCCCATTAAGTAGATGACCAATCTCAGCAAATGCTGGCATCCAATCCAACTCCCCTTCAGGCCCAAGGTAGTGAAGAATCACCTCTTTTCCTTTGAACAAAAGGTTCTTTGAACTGATATTGAGTGCTGTTAATATGTAATAGATTGTCAAGGGGTGGGAGAGAATGTCTGCAACAGGGCTTGACATTCGCAGTGATCGAAGGTTATAGTACTCTGACCAACCAGAGAGAAGGATTGGACTCGATATTCCATCCCCTAAATGATTATGAAAAGGTGAATCAAGAGGGTACTCATCATCATCCAGCCCACCCCATGAATCCCAAAGTCCACCATTAACAGGAAGCAGATCGTAAGGGATGTGGAAATAGCAACTGCACTTCCTCCTCCACACCCCCTTCTGGTGGATATCCAATGATTCAAGCCATTTACATGGCTGAAAAGCTGAACAAGGGAAGACGAAGAATTTCATTGCCAACTCTTCTTCTCGTTCCATCATTGCCTTGTAAAGGCCACACATGCCTTTATGTGTTTCCTTCCAGTGCTGCTTCTGGCAAAGAGCACTGCAATAAACCACCGCACAACACCAGTTGCAACACACAGATTGTTCTCCGTGAACTTCTTTCTCACACATTTCACAATGCCTCAATCCAACACTAGAGCTCACTTTCACATCTACAAAGGTCTCCTCCTTGGGTGGTTCCGCATACTTGGTGGGGGTTGATTAGCCGTTGAGATGGCCTTTTCTTCGTATCCCTGACCAGGTGGATGTGAGACTGTCACTGCAACAAGATCATTACCCTTGGACATTTCAGGAGGCCATTGTACATCAACTGTTTCAATGAATGGTTCAAAATAAACCACTCTTGACCACTTTGCACCAGCACCATTATCTCGCTGAAGCAACGGGTGCACCAAAGAAATGGCCTTCATGGCCGCATACACAAACCGAAGCTCTTCAAGGGTGGGAGTTCTAAACTGAAGTCCACCAGACGAAGAACAACGTGCAACATCAATGACAGGAAAACGATCAGCACCCGACACTTCCAACGACAAGGACCTAATCATCTTCTTATTCGATGAAAACATCAATGACTCGAGCTCATAAGTCACTCTCAAGAGCTCGACATTTGGAACCCAAATCGTCTCTCTAGAACCTGTCATCCTCTGTGCATCATTTTCCGATCTAAACATATGAAACCCTAAATCCCCAGCGTCCCCTCCTACGAATTGAACGCACGGAAATGGCTGTTTCTTGCCAGACCAATCAGAATCTTTCCCAACCCTTAACCCAAAAAGGTTCCCAGGCCGCAACCGCTTCCACGGATCGGTCCTATACAGAGCACCAGCAGCTCTATAAATGGATTTAATGAAAGGAGAGACAATGCCTTCCACTTTCATAAGACATGTTCCAGATCCGGGACCGAGTCCCGGACCAGAACCAAACTGTTCATGAAATCTAGCAAACAAGTTCTTCAAATGCACATCCATAATGGCACTAAAACTATCAGATCTAACTAAATTCTGAACCCAATAAACCCTAATCACATAAAAGATTGTTCCTTTTTCCTTTGATGATTTGTTCAAAAACACACTCCAAAATTGATGATAATAACTAACTGGGTTGGTGATACATGACTGAAATTAGAGTGAGATAATTGAAAATGAAAGCATCAAAAAGTAGAGATTAAAAAGAATACTCACTGGTTGTTGATGAATCTAAGTTTGGAGTAAATTTCGGATCGAGAAATGTTATTGCAGTTATTGGGTTGAAGAAGAAAACGCGAAATTGAGACACAAGTCAAAGATCTGAGAACGTCATTGCGACCATTGTTCCCATACTATAACTGTTGTAGTAACTGGTGAGCGGGGGGTCAAGTTATCGTGTCAAGTCGTCAACTGTTAGTGGGTTTGGTTTTAATTTTAAACTCAATTACTATGTTAAACATATAATTTGATATTTTATTTTAATCTGGACAGTTTTAATTAACTTATTCTTATATTGAGACATTTTTTCATAAATTTCTTTTTATTTGCTTATATTTTATTTAGTTTACATTATTTTTTTATATTCTAATAAGTCTTATGAGTAACATAGTTATTAAAATACCCTTAATAATATTTACATAGACAGTGCGAATGTACCGTGATGTAAATGTTTATACCGTCAATGTGAATATTCACATCATCAATGTGAATGTTAACATGTGAATGTGAACATTCACACGTTAATGTGAATATTCACATTGTAAAATATGAATGTTCACATCACCAAATTACAAACCGTTCAAAAAATATTTGTGAGGGTAGAAATGTCCATAAAATACTACAAATATGAGAATTAGAATTTAGTAGATCAAATATTCAAATAACAGGACTTACTAAAATATAATAATATCTTATAAACTAATTAAAATACAAACACTTAAAAAAAAAATTAATAAATCTCCCTTTTATATTTTATACTACCACCTTATTATCAATGCTTTCCCTTCGTTAAAATTGGGTTGGAATAATTATAATGATTAAATAATTTTGTCATCCCTATTCGAATCTCTAACCTGTGCTTTATATTTTTACAAAATTTCCGATCATTTGTCCGTGCCTAAGACTGATTCTATGTTTATCAATAATCTCATTAAAAATCTTACTAAAATACAAGCAATTAAATATGATTTATTATAATAATAAAAAAATGAAATATTTTTAAACATGCAATGATTATTGACATATATACTTTTAAAAAAAAAAAATTGAATGTAATAATATTGCTTCCATTCCTACTAATCACTCGTTTTGGTAGTTAACATTTTAATTAAAAAATCAAAAAAAAAATTAACTTATATAATAAAGTTAAATTTTTCTTCTCATTCATTTTATTTTTTTCATATCTTTTCATAAATAGTTAAAAATTATTCCTAAATATATTATATTTTTTTTCACTTCACATTTTAATTAAAAACTCAAAAAAAAAAAAATCATTAAAAATTACTTCCCAAACAACCCATAATTGCTCTTTTGATTGGAAAATTTATCAATAAATCCCATATAGAGAAATATTGATCTATTTAGTCTTAAGAGTTTTTTTATGAACCAATTAGTCTTTTTTATTTTAAAAAGTTATATTTATATGATTTGGTGTCATTTGAATTTAAATAAATGTCTTTTTATGATTTATTTTTTTAATTTGTTGATTCATTTTTGAGATGAGAATCGAAAGGTGAGGTGTGAATTTTTTTTTTTGAAGGAATTGGTGGCTAAAGCATTGGTAGTTAACGTTGAAATCTACATTTTTATTAGTGTGGTTTTCTGATATTACATTAAAATGTTACGTTTAGAAAAAGGTACATTAAAAAATTTTTGTATGTTATAGAGTAGGGCTGGGCTTAGGATTATTCAACCCATAGAAATCGCCCAACCCAATCCGAACCCCATACAAATGGGCGGTTTAGACTATAGAGTAGGGTCGAGTGCAGTTTAAATTATTTTTTCATTGCGGGTTGTGGGTTTCACCCGCACCCATAAGTACTCGCCCACGCTAAACATTTTTTTTTTAATTATTATTTAAAAACCTGGGTGCTTTCGGCCATGGGTGCTTTAAAGGTTTCCTTCACTCAATTGACTTAGCTATTGTTCCTTTTAGTCAATTCTGATGGAATGTTAGCTTGTAAAGCTCTGTAGCTGTGCGTACATGTATATACATAATAATAATATATATATATATATATATTAAATACTCACTATGGAGGATATTTTCTATGTTAGTTCTTATTTAATTTTTATTATAATTTTTTCTAATCCAATTTCAATATTAGCTTTAATGTTTTGCTGGTGTTAGAAATGATTTTATTGTGTTTTTAATTTTATAAATTTTAATTCATTAATTGTTGATGTTCTAAAGTAGGGAAAAACATGCCCAAGTTTTGCTTTTTCAAAGAAAAAGTCCAATCCGCAAACTGCCAACATATTCGGGAACCCTATTCGCATAAACTGCAACCCGCACTACGGGTGGTTACAGGTTCAATTTTTCTCAAACCCCAGATATGCGAACGGATCCAAACCACAAACCGAACCATCCAAAACCGATCTGTGACCATCCCTATTACAGAGTGTTATGTTTGGGAAAAAAAAAAATACTAAGGAGTTTTTTTTTTTTTTTTTTTGAATGTTACGTTTGAAAAAAATACACTAAAAAGTTTTTTTGTGTATTATATTAAAGTGTTACGTTTGGAAAAAGTACACTAAAGAGTTTTTGTGTGTTACATTGATTAGAGTGTTACGTTTGGAAAAATACACTAAAGAGTTTTTTTGAAATGTTTTGTGTTTACTTTTAAGAAAAGCATACTAACAAGTTTTTTAGTATGTTACATTAAAGTGTTACGTTTGGAAAAAGTACACTAAAGAGTTTGTGTGTGTTATATTGATTGGAGTGTTATGTTTGGGAAAAATACATTAAGTAGAATACAACAGCCATTATTGTGCAACCAAATCGGCCCATTTCAAAACCCATTTCGATAATCCGAACTGTTCACATTTTAAAATACATCAAGTAGAACATACTTGCAAAAATTCAAGTTAATCGGATATTGTTTACACATTCATCCACTCACATTTGTATTCATTTTAATACTTTAAATCACAATTGTTGATATCTGATTAACTTGATTTTTTGCAAGTATGTTCTACTTGATATATTCTAAAATGTGAACGGTACGGATTATCGAAATGGCCCCATTTGACAGCACAATAGTGACTGTTGTGCACCCGCACGACAGCCACCCCAAATCCATTAAAGGTTAGTTGATATTTATTAGTTTTTTAGCTTTTGTTTTAGTTTTTTTTGTCTTCAATAAAATCTTTTTTTATTTTTTTCATATTATAGTCAAATATACCTACAAATGAATATATTTATGAAACAAAATCTTTAGAAAAATTAATAAAGACAAAAACTACGAAAAATGTGTCATTTATTATTATTATTATTATTATTGACCCTTTTCATTTTTTTTTTTTTTTTTTTTTTTTGCGGAGATTGACCAATAAATTTTATAGTGTGGACTTATAATCTATATAGTCCCATATTTTTTCTTGTGTTCCATTTAGTCATTTGTATGTATAATAACTCATTTGCCCCCTCACATTGGAGTGTCACATTTGAAAAAAGTATACTAATGAATTTTTTTAGTGTCACATCATACCTGCCACGTTAGTGTCACATTTAGAAAAAGTACACAGTTTTTAATTTTTTTTATAGTGTCACATCATACTCGTCACATTAAAGTTTCACATGTCACCTTTGGAAAAAATACACTAAAGAGTTTGCATTTTTTTTAAAGTGTCACATCATGCCCGCCACGTTGTCACATTTAGAAAAAGTATACTAACGAGTTTTTATTTTGTTTAGAGTGGCATATCATACATGTCACGTTGTTACATTTAGAAAAAATACACTAATGAGCTTTTATTTTATTTAGAATGTCATATCATACCCGTCACGTTGTCACATTTGAAAAAAGTACACTATGAAATTTTTATTTTTTTAGAGTGTCACATCATATCCGTCAGGTTGTCACATTGGGGAAAAGTACAGTAAGGAGTTTTTAATTTTTTTTGAGAGTCACATCATACCTGCCATGTTGTCACATTTGGCAAAAAATGCACTAAGGAGTTTTTAATTTTTTTGAAGTAAAAGTCTTGGAGTGTCACATCATATCGGCCACGTTGTGAAACGCCCCAAGTTTTAATTACTTGGATACATTACCAAAAGCCTGTAATTTAAGTCCATTTTTTTTTCTTTTATATACAAATATCTATTACCCTTGAATAATAGACACATAATAATATATGTCTCTCTTTCAATGAATACAATAATAACAATGATACATGCCAGGAGTTACAAATAAATAATTACAAATATCAATATACAACAATTACTTCATTCACATCCACAACGAAATTACACAAACAGACTTATGGACTTCTTAACTCTTCAACTATGAATCCAGATTCTTTTCCTGAAAAAGAAATAAAACAACAAGGGATGAGCACTATTTGCCCAGTAGGGATCTCATAGTTCTACAACAATAACCAACACACAGACAGAAATGATCATGCATGTAGGGTGATACCATATAGTAGGTGACGTTTTGCAATTTCAAAATATCATACGTAGAGTATCTTTTTCTCAAAATTTATTTGAACATTTAAGGAAAACCTTTAACCAACAAAAACTATTCCTTTTCATCAGAAAACCATAAGTCCTTCTTGAAAACATTTATGTTTAAGGAACCACATCATTTTATATTTATTAACCCATTCCAAAATATTCCCCCTTGATTTCCATCTTAACATTCCTCTTTTATTTCCATTCTCCCCTTTTGCTGGTTACATTTATTATAAAGTCATAACCTCAAGTTCACGTTCCTTAATACTCCAAAACATCCCACATGCATGCTATTTCCACCAATCTATTCATATTTGTTGTAACTCCTCAATGTAGAAATCTAAATTTGCTTTATATACAATAATTGTTATCCTACACTCAACTCCTATTTGTCTAACAAATACATCACATCCACATTTGCATTATCAATCATAATTCAACATATCACAACTATATCATATCTACATGTGTGTTATCAATCATAATTCAACATATCACAAGGATAATAAACCCTTTTAATTCAATTTCTTCAGATAATTTCTATATGCATTCCCTTTCCATGCCAAATTGCACATCAATTGTAATTTCCCATGTTCATCTCAATTCACACATATTATCATCAATTCAACACATTTCTCAACACATTCCACCTTTTGCCGACTTAATACGGCAGGATAGCGGGCACCCAATCCATAATATTTCCCACCTTTTGCCGGC